CCCTACTATCTAGCTCATAGTGGGTTCTCAACAACTATTGAACAAATGGATTACTAAATCTTGAAGGACCACATAAGCTAAATTCTAGTGACAATAAGAACAGAAATGAAAGATTCTTTCTCACTATGCTTACAGTACACTGAGATAGCTCTGTATAAGTAATAGGAAAGATATGAGTTCAGTGCTAGTATATGTTATGTATATTCTGCATTAGTAATAACACCAGTAATGCCAGCCTTTTGCCCATATTTTATATTGAATGCTCTTGTTTTAATAGGTAAGTACCATAAATTAAACTTAAATGTTTTTTCAAGTATATTCTTTAGGCATATGGAAATAATTTGTTCACCTTTAAAATTATATTACAAACTACCATTCATTTCTCTTTTTTTTTATCTTATTTCAGGTACTTTTATACATTCAAACGTCATTTAGTTTACAAAGTGGATATTCTAATATGTTTATATTTCTCCCCAGTCCAGTTGATAATACTATAAAGTTATCTACAATAGACAGTACCCCATCTTTTGTCCCATTAATGCTTTGCCTCTCCATTTTTCTCCTTAATGTTCTTCCTCAGACTGTATTCCTTCACCCATGCTCTTCCTGCACTGTATCTGATATTCACAACCATTTACTGTGTTTCTATATCTTTTAATCATTCAGTTTCGGTCATAGAGTACGGAAACTCGGTTTTTATTAAGTGGGGACATACAGTGTCTCTCCTTCATAGCCTGGCTTGCTTCACTCAGCAGTAAATTTTCCATATTCATCCACTTTTTGTCAAAAGCCAGCATCTTGTTTTTTATGGCAGAGTAGTATTCCATAGAGTATATGTGCTACAGTTTTTCTTTTTTTTCCGCATATATATATATATATATACACACACATATTTATTTATTTATATATATTTACACCTATGTCTGACCCTCTGCCCTTTCCCACCCTCTTCTCACACTATCTCTGGTGTCTACAGTTGTCTTCCATTTCTTTTCCCCCACATTTTATTGATCATACAATTTCTTAAAATAATCTGACTACTTTCAATAGCAAGTTCAGCTGGTAATTTCAAGAAAAGCAGTTTTGAATTGGTAAGGAAATTTGCTTAAAACTTAAAGACTGGGGGACCAGCAGGTGGCATGGTGGTTAGGTGCTGGACACTCCCGCATGGCTGA